TAGTTGTTCAAAAGGATTCTTTTATTAAGCAGAAGTGAAAGCCATCCAGCTAAAGCACAATCTGAATGCCCTTAGGCAAAGCAATAGGATTAAAGTGGTAGAGACCCCTCCCTTTAAATCAGAATGCAGATTTTAGCCAATACACAAGTGTGAAGATGTTTTCTTTACTATTTCCTTTGAGAACCTGAACAAACATGCATTCCCACCACTACCCTTTAAAGTGAGACAACCCACATGGCTATCATAAAAATTCCTGCAGGTAAAGGGAATCTCAGGCTTCCTTGGCGCCAGGATATAGGTTGTAAAATATCTGATGACACAGGCCATGCTAGTAAATCGAATCCAAGTCCCACCTTCCTCCACTTGAATGGCAGTATCACTTTTAGGGATCTGACCTAAGCAATCTTTCAGCTGTCAGAACCTGGACAGCTCCAAGTTCCCTATCAATAAAAGAAACACAAACAGAAAAAGGCTACATTGCATATTATCACTACATGTATGTCTATGTTCAATGTGTTTTAAGACTACAGATGTATTTTGTTTCATGTTTAAAAAAAAATAAAAAAAACTTTTTAAAAAAAAGACTACATTTTATTATGCCTCCATTTAGGGAATATGTCTCAAAATGGATCCAGGATACTGTCTCAACTTTTTCCTATGATGGAATTACATGCTTGCATCTACTCTTCAGTATAAAACTAGTCTGAAAGCCAGTATGGAATGTATTTAATAATCAACAACCTCCAGGTCTACCTGGATTTTAAGACTTCATATATTCCAAGATCTTGCTTAAAAATGGATAATTTTCAAATATCATTGCAGATCAAGACATTATCACTTCTAAATCAGCATTTGGAATCTACATTTCTACTAGGCTGAGCAAAGTAACACTTCCATGTCTGTACTGTAGTGGGAGCAGCAGTGGTGGTATTCAGCCAGATTGCACAGTTTCAGCCGAACTTTGTGTGCAGTTTGGTGAACCAGCTGAATCACCACACTTGAGTCCACCTTGTGGCTCGCCACTTCCCTTCCAGCTACTCCTCGCCTCGTCTGAGGCCATTTTGGCATCTCAACACTCCTCTAACTGGCTCCCCGCCCCCTCCAAGGCAGCTCTGACAAGGCACTCGGAGGGAGAGGCTGCAGCTACTAAACAAGCAGCCAAGCTAAGTGCCATCCATCACCAGAAGTCTAGGCACCTCAGCAGGTGGTGAACAAAGCTTTGGCTGGGCTCTGTCCTAAGGAGGCTGGGGGCATTGTTGGGGCTCCTGTGAAGAAGGCCTCAGCCCGGTCCCCACATGGTACCATGATCCACAAGCTGCTGCTGGTCTTGCACAGCTAGCCGGGCAGCCTCTTCATGGCAGCCTGTGGGGGGGTGGCAGGTCAGGGGGGCTGGCCCTCCCTCCACAGGCATGGCCCAACACCCTTCCTCCTCCTCTTCCTCCTCCGAGCTGCTGCCGTTCCTGCATGTGAGCAAGGCTGCCCTCCTGGCCTGTGTCTGCTGCCTGGGCATGCTCTATGCCTGCCTACATGAGTTCATTGAGCAATTCGCCGAGCACACCCAGCCACCACTGCTGCTGCCCCACCAGAGGTGTACCCTTTCTGGCCTGTGTGGTGGACTGTGGCACCGGGTGAGCCCAGTGATACAGAGAGAGGGGGGGGATGAATGGGCGAATGACATGTGGCTGACAGTTGGCTTCTAGCGCCGGAGCAGGTGGGGAAGGGAAGTGGTCAGGCTGCTTTTCATTGGGGCACATGAGCGAGAAGGGGCACCTCTTGCCATCTCTTCTACCCCCCCCTCACCAGGCATGACAAGGCTTCCTGTCCCTCACTTAGCCCCCTGCCCTTTATCGATGCAATTTGGGGGTGGCAGGTGGAAAGGGCTGGGGCGGGGGAAGAAGGGTATTCCCAACTTCTGGGCTGACTGGCTTCTTCCTGGCAGCTCTTTCTCTGCCTTTCAGTGTCAACCATCAAAGATGAGGTTTTTGTGGGCAGAAAAGCTGCACTGCAAAGCAGAAATGGGAAATGGAGCAGCTGGCATGAGGGAAGGAGAAGAAGCAGGGAAAGAGGAAAAGTGGCCTCCTCCTTCCCTCATGCTGGCCGCTCTGTTGCCCATTTCTCCATTGCAGTGCAGTGCTGTGGAGCTTGCTCCACTCCACCCACCAATGCTCAGATGCCCTTGCTTCCCCCAAGCATTTCTTTGCCTGATTTCCAGCTCCATCACGTTTCTCCATTGTGTTTCTCGCCATTGTGTGCAGGGAAACAAAAGTTTGTGGGACTAAAAAAAGTTCAATCAATCAATTCCAACCTTGCAAAAAAACCAAAAAGATTTTGTGAAGTTAGAATTGATTGATTGAACTTTTATTTTTTTAGTCCCACAAATTTGTTTCCCTGCACATGATGGCTAGGAACCTGGCAGAGAAACGCAATGGCCCTGGAAATCAGGTAGGCAAAGAAATGCTTGGGGGAAGCATGGGCATCTGGGCACCAGGTGTTGAAATGAGCCCGTCTCTCTCCAGCAGTTGCCCAGGCCCACCGGAGGGAAGGCCAGCATCTACCAGCACTTAAATGCAGCGGCATTCCAGCTCTGGCTGGGAAGGAGCAGCAGGCAGGACATGATGGAAAAACCTGACGGAGCTGGAAATCAGGCAAAGAAATGCTTGGGGGAAGCGAGGGCATGTGGGCAGTGGACAGTGGTGGGTGGGGCAAGCTCCACAGCACTGCACTGCAATGGAGAAATGGGCAACGGAGTGACCAGCATGAGGGAAGGAGGCCGCTTTTCCTCTTTCCCTGCTCGTCATTCCCTCATGCCGGCTGCTCCATTTCCCATTTCTCCATTGCAGTACAGCGCCTAGGATTCACTTTGATGGGGGGGGCGTAATTTAACAACCCGGCTCATATTGCTCTGCTCACTGCATCTGCCCACAAAGGTAAGGCCAATGACGACCTGCGCCCGGAGCGTCCCCTAGGCCTAGGATGGAGTAAAAAGGCACTGACCTTTACACAGGAGAAGGATAAGGGAATTTTTTTTGTCACAGGAGCATCACATGGGCACCCCATTGCCACCTGTCTCTGCCCATATGTTCTGTCTTTAATCCAAGGCTCCATGTTGGAGTTTCCTGCAATGATTTATTCTTTTTGTATATAGGATAAATAGTATTAAAGGCATTGGCATACTTGTTATCTAATTAGAGTTACTTGGAAATAAATTTTATCAAGATTTATATTTCTCTTCAATTAACATATTTTGCATTATGGTGAATGTACACAAACAATTTAAAACACATACATGAAGAGCCCAACTTACACAATTTACAAGTGAAAATCAGGAAACCACTTAGAAGAAAATGTAAAAGTTAAATCATAAAAACAAATACATTGAATCGTTTCTTTGTAACCAACAAGTTTATATAGTAGGGTATTATACGTACATCACTTACAATTAGTTTGTCTGCACCACACCTTAATTTGAATAAAAACAAACCTGTTGAATAATTCCTCTTTATCCATGATCATATTTTCAAAGTAAAAAGCATAGTAATAATTCAAACAAAAAATGCAAATTTAATTAAATAATGGTACAATGTTTCCCTTAAGATTTACTACCATTTTTACTTAAGACTAAGTTTTCTGTAAAACTTCAGTTGCTAAATTGCTCCAGGAAAGTTCCAGTAATATTTTCTCTTATGCAAACTGTAAAGTTTGACTGCTTTCATACAGAACCTTTTTTGTTTATTTTGTTAATTTTCTTTGCAGACACTGGTTGATCACCCACTTCTGTCTTGGATACATTTTGGTAAAATGTCCATTCAATAGTGATACAGTAGTATTACAGTATGTTCAATGTTCACTTATGGAAGTCTCAATACATAGAACACTTTTAAAAATAGGCATGAAACACATAGCAGATATGTTATTTCATTTGGTTTTCTACAACAAAACATACCTAATCTTAAATTAAGTTGCAAAACATTTTTTAAAAAGAGATTTAGGCAATTCCAGAAGAAAGGATCTTGCAAGCGGAGACTCAATTTAAACACTAGTTTCTAGGGCCATGATGGCGAACCTATGGCACGTGTGCCACAGGTGGCACATGTAGCCATCATTGGACATGTCAGCTCAGTTTTGGTGCGCATGCATGCACTGGCCAGCTGATTTTCGGACCAGAAGTAGAGAAACAGGCTGTTTCCTGCCTCCAGAGGGCCTGGGTGGGGGGAGGTCCATTTTTGTTTCTCACCTGGCGCCAGATCCTCTCTATGCATCTGGGGAGGGTGAAAACAGCCTTTCCCACTCCCTCGGAGGCCCCCTGGAGGACTGAAATGGCCCATTTCCCAACTCCCAGTGGGACAGGAAGTGACATTTTTTGCTGTCCCCAGCCTCCAGAGACTCCTAGAGAGGCTGTTGGTATGAAAAGGGCAAGATACATAGCTAACGCATTGTAAGCCGCCCTGAGTCTCCGGAGAAGGGCAGCATATAAATCAAATCAAATCAAATCAAATCAATCAATCAATCAATCAATCAATCAATCAATAAATAATACTTCCAGACGCATCATATTAAAAATGCACTACTGCTAGCATGGACTAAAATTAAACAACAATACTATTTGAAAGTGCCAGTATGGTTATCGAAAATGGAGGCATGGATATAACCCAATGTTATAAATATGGATAAAATTATATGATATAAGGACGTATTAAATGAAAGGGGAGAACTAAAAACAAATCAAGAACTAAAAAGATTAGGGGTTGACCTATCATGGTGGCCACAGTTGCAGATACAATCCAGGTATAAAAAGGACAGGAAGGAATATGGGTTTTATAATGAACCAAATGAACTTAATGGGAACAGATCAAAAACTAATTAAGAGGATCAAAGATCCGGCTCAGAATAAAGTAATTTAAATTAGAAAGGGGCTCTTTGCCCATCTGTGATCGGGTTTCCCTTCCATTACGGGGTAGTCATCGTTTTGGGGCCGCCATGACTGGCGCCGTCTTCCTAACCTGTGACAAGAGAGATCCGCCTACGCGCGTAGGATCGCCACTCCACATGTGCTGTTGCTCCTCTCCACTTACGGCCACCTCTCCGGGGCTGCTGCCGGCACGAAAGCCGCCCAGGTTAGAAAGTTTGCAAGAACAAGGCAGGAGCAAGCTCCATGTCTGTCTTGCTTTGCACGATGACATCACCGGAAACCCTATATAAAAATATTTTGATAATACTTGTTGTATGATATTGTGGAAGAATTTTACTCAAGTGTTAAAAATGTCAAACACGGCAACTATAACTAAAGCAGTGAAAAAAACAACCACAAATCTTTCTCCTATAACAGGATCACCATCAAATCAGAGAACAATAGAAAATATGCTGGGAAAAGAAAAAGAAAAATCAGAAGTGACAGTGAGTAGTCAGAGTATGCAGAGTATGCTGCAAATGATACAAGAAACATTAATGAAAGCATAAGAGAAAATTGCTGATAATCATAAAGAGACGAAAATACATAATAAAGAAATTAAAAATGAAATTGGAGAAATGAAAGATGATATTAAAAATATGAATGATAAAATAGGGAATATCCAACAAGCAATGATGGAAAATGAACAAAAAAATAAAAAAATGGAAACAAAAATGGATCAAGTGGACAATAAAATGGAAATGATGGAGCAGAAGTCTCTGCAACTAAACAGGGAGCTGACAGAGTCAATTGTGTTATTGGAGATGGAGAAAGCTTCATATTTTTTACGGTTCCAAAATATCCTGGAAGAAAAAGATGAAGATTTGGGAGAGAAAATGGTGGAAATTTTGGTGGAGGTATTGCAAAGAGATAAGGCAGAACTAAGAGGACAGATAGACAAAATTTACCGTGTGCACACAAATTATGCATGAAGACATCAACTGGTGAGGAAGATACATGTAAGATTTACCAAACAAACAGTGATGGATGAAATATACAAAAAGTCAAGAGAAGAATCAATAACATATAAGGGCAAGGAAATTGTAATTCTGAACCAGGATACAGAACCAATGACGGCAATATCAATTCTTGACAAATCAATTAACAAGATATAAAGTTATGTTTAGATGGTTGATACCAGAAGGCATACTTATAACGTGGCAAGAGAAAAAATACAAGGTGGACACATTAGAGAAAGCTCAAGAATTTTATAAACATAATTTTACACAGGAAAAAGAGCAAGAAAGTAGGGAAGAATCGAAGAGTAAAAGTCAAGATGAAGATCAAATAGAGAAAATAGAACGAGAAAGAGAAATAAGAAAGACACAAGAAAAAGAATGAGAAGAAAGATAGGGCCTGAAAGGGACAGTACGAAAGGAGACAAGAAACACAAAAAAACAACTCCAGTAAGAAATGGAAGAGGCAATTAAACTCTTCTCGGTGAATATAAACGGGTTAAATTCACCAAGAAAAAGAACACAAACTTTTACCAAATGGCGAAAGCTTGAAGAAGTTGTGATATGTCTACAGGAAGTACACATTAAAAAGGGGTATCAAAAGTTGTTAGAGAACCCTAAGTTAGGGATACTATATACATCATTAATACAAAAAAAGAAAAGAAGAATTGCTATATATGTAAAAGAAAGAATAAAATCAAAATTAATTTATTCGGACGAAGAGGGTAGAATTTTAATGGTAGAATTAGAAACTGAACATAAACAAACTTTACTTACAGTAATGTATGTGCCTAACAAAAACCAACACGGATTTTTTAAAAAGGTGCATAATAAAATAATAGAATTAGAATATGATAATATTTGCCTAATTGGGGACTATAACACAATAGCGGATGTTAAAAAAGATTATAAAAGTAACAAGAAAAATAAAAAGAAGAAAGATACATTACCAAAAGCATTTTTTGATATGGCAACAGAATTAAAACTGAGATGTATGGAGAAAAACACATAGCGTAGAAAGCCAATATACATTTTATTCATACCCACATCAATCCTGGTTCAGAATCGATATGGCCTGGATGACAGCAGAAATTCAAACAGGACTAGAAGAAGTCAATGATTGGACAGATCATAATCCAATAATTATAAAATGGAAAGGACAAAAACAGTTTAAGAGATGGACAATGAATCAAAGTATATGTAGAGATAAAGAATATAAACAGATGCTAGAAAAAGAGCTGACACTATTTTTTACTGTAAATAAAAAAGAGGATACTTCAATACAAAATTTATGGGACACTGTAAAAGCATATATCTGTGGATTGACGATAGCTTATAAAGCAAGGAAAAATAAGGAAAGGAAATGTCAACAAGGAAAATTACAAGATGAATTTAAAAAGGCAGAATGTAATTACAGGAGGACCCTCAGAATAATAAATTAAAAGAGGAATGGAATATTATAAAACATAAAATCAATCTGATAAATTAAAAGGAAATAGCCCAGAAAATAAAGATGTCAAAAAAAAATTATTTCGAACATGCAAACAAAACTGGTAGATGGTTGGCCTATAAATTAAAAAAGGAAAGGGATAAAAGAATGATATATCAATTACAAGATGAGAATGGGACAATGCAATATAGAAGGGAAGAAAAAAAAATCCAAAAAATTTTCTCAAATCTATATTGTCAGGAGGCTATAATAGAAGAAAAAGTCAAATAATAGATAGAGGGAACAAACTTGAATAAAATTACAGAAGAGCAAAAAGAAATATTAAATAGACCGATAACTGTGACAGAATTTGAAATGGCATCGAAAAAAACAAAAAAACCAACAAACACCTGACCCAGATGTGCTCACTGTGGAGATATATAAAAACACCCAAGAAACGCTGGGATGGATAATATTGGAGGTATTTAATGATGCTCTTGAGGAGGCTAAAATACCGATAACATGGACAGAAGCAATTATCACCCTTATTCCTAAAGAAGACACAGACTACCAACAAATTCAAAATTATAGACCAATTTTACTATTAAATACGGATTACAAAATATTTGCATCAATAGTAGCCTAGAGAATCAAAAAAATCTTGAACAAATATATCCACCCGGACCAAAATGGATTTCTGACAGGCCGGCAAATTAAAAACAACATGAGAACTATAATAAATATTCTAGAACCCTATGAAACACACCCTGAAAAACATGCTTCACTGGTTTTCCTTGATGCCCAAAAGGCATTTGATAATTTGAATTGGAAATTTATAATAAGGCAATTGAAATTTATGGAATTTGGAACAAAATTTTAAAAGATGATTGAAAACATTTATACCAAACAAATGGCAAGGGTAATTATGAATGATGACACTACAGAACAATTTGATATAACAAAAGGAATGAGACAAGGGTGCCTACTCTCTCCACTTCTATTTATTTTAACCCTAGAAATGCTTTTGATGAAAATTAGGGAAGATCAAGAAATAAAAGGTCTAAAAATAAAGAAAGAAGAATATAAGGTCCAGGCTTTTGCCAATGATTTGGTGTTTATATTGGAGGAACCATTAGAATCGGGACCAAAACTGATACAAAAAATAGAAGAATTTGGTGAGGTAGCAGGACTCAAGATTAATAAAAATAAATCTAAATTAATAACCAAAAATCTTACAAAGAAACATAAAAAAGAATTGGAAGGTAGTATAAAAATACAAACAACCAAGAAGATAAAATATTTAGGGATTTGGCTTACAGCGAAATGTTCCTCAATCAAGGAAGACAATTACAATAAAATTCTACAGCAAATAAAAAAAGACTTAGAAAATTGGAAAAACTTGTCACTTCCTGCCGCTCACGACTGCACAACAACAAGCCTCATGAAGACTCATTTCTGGCAGAGTTTGGGAGAGAGAAACAAGCCAAGCTCTCTGCTGCATTTGCTTTCCTTGTGTGCAGCCAAAAGTCCGCAAAAGTCCGCAAAAGGCAGGAAAGTGAAATGCCAAGCTCAACCCATACCAACACCTCACATATTAACTCGACTTTCTCAGCCTACTACCCAAGTGACCTCCTGCTGAGACTTTAAGAATATATTGCAAGTGAATTCACCCACCTGTCACCCCTGAAGCTGACCTGATCGAGGCCATTTTGAGGCTTCAGTGTTACCACACTGGAGCTGAGGGATAGGGAGGGGGGAATAGAGATACATATACAGATTAACAGAGTTGAAACGGAACTTGTAGGTCATCTACTCCAACCACTTGTCCAATAGACCCTACACCATATTTTTGACAGATGGCAGTCCAATCTCTTCTTGAAAGCTTCCAGTGATGAAGCTCCCACAACTTCTGAAGGCAAGCTGTTCCATTGTTTGATTGTTCTCACTATCAGAAAATTTATCCTTATTTCCAGGTTGAATCTCTCCTTGTTCAGTTTCCATTCATTATTCCTTGTCTGGCCTTCAAGTACTTTGGAAAATAGTTTGACCCCCTCCTCTCTGTGGCAGCCTCTCAAATATTGGAACACTGCTATCATTTCTCCCCTAGTCCTTCTCTTCACTAGATAAGCCATACCGAGTATTTGTAACCATTCATTGTATGTTTTAGCCTCCAGTCCCCTAATCATCTTTGTTGCTCTTCTCTGCACTCTTTCTAGAATCTCAACATCTTTTTTATAGAGTGGTGACCAAAACTGGATGCAATATTCTACTAAGCCTTTACTAAGGTTTTATAGAGTGGTATTAGTACCTCCCTTGGTTTTGATTCCCTCTGTTAATGTAATTTAAGATTGTATTAGCTTTTTTGACTGCTGCAGCAACTGTTAGCTCATATTTAATTGATTGTCCACTAAGACTCCAAGATCCCTCTCTCAATTACTACTATTAAGCCTGGTTTCACCCAGTCTATATTTGTACTTTTGGTTTTTCTTGCCTAAGTGTAAGACTTTACTTTTCTCTACCTTGAATTTCATTTTGTTAGATAGGGCCCAGTGTTCAAGTCTGTCAAGATCCATCTAGATCTTGGCTTTTAATAATAAATCATTAAATACTTGTAACATTACATTGCTTAATACATCTTGCAACATTTTGTATAGTTCTGCTGGCAATCCATCTGGTCCTGGTGTTTTACCATTCTTTTGTTTCTTAATTCCCTCCATCAATTCCATCATCAATATTCTTTCTTCTAACAACTTTTTAAATTCTTCTGGAATTTTAGGTATTTTAGCTTTTTCTAAGTATTGTTTTATCTTTCCTTCTGCCGCCATCTCTTGCTGGTATAAACTTTTATAATATTTCTC